GAGGGGGGGAGAGGGGGGGCGAGGGGGCAGGGGGGAGGGGGAAGGGGATGCTTGTAGTGGGGTTGGGAGAGCTGGCCAAGGGCCATGGGAGACCAGGTCTTCTGCTGAGAGTGAGAGAGGAGATGGAGGGTTCTGAGTTTGTTTAGTGCCTATTCTTACTACCAAGTTAAAAAGGAAAATCCAGTCTTGTCTTGGATCTTCCATTTGATTCTATTTCTTGTTTAGACTTATTCAGTGTTTTTCAGACCCTGGCAGAGGGCTCTTCTGGGGTTTCTACGTCCTTTGCAATGTCACTTTAGATTCTGTTACTGCTTCTAGGCTTACTCCTGTATTTCTAGATTTAGGTTGTCAGTGTTCTGCAAACAAAGTAAGGAACTGTCTTCCCAGGTCACGGCCGTTAGTGATGTGGCCTCACAGCGCGTCACAGTTGCACTGTGTCTCAGAGGCTGTAAAAGCACCAAGTATGCAGATTTATCAGAAAAACCATGCCTTAATTTATTTTTATGGGGTCTTCCTGGGCAGTATTTTTTGCTAAAGGGGTTTAAATTATATAAGGACAAAGTTTTTACAGACCATATAGAGATTTAGTTCTAAAATTCACCCCAAATCTACATAATGATCAACAGAGAATAGATGTGCAGACTTTAGTTTTTAATGTGATTTGCATTTTTAAAAGCAAACGCCTTGGTGCTAGTCTAAAAGGTTGCCTTTTATGTGTCAAAACCTGGAAAGTTAAGAAATTTTTTCCTGAATTTTTACAGAAAATCACTTGGACCCACCCCTCCCCCACAGTAGCAGCTAGTTTCCATTGCCTCTGTTTTGTTTCCCCCTAAATTCTGTAGGTTTTGGTTCATTGAAACATTCATTTGTGCATACATGCATTCATTCATTCCCCACCATTTATTGGATGCTGATAGCATGTCCATTTTTTGGGCTGGGGCAGGGTTGACTAAGATAGTCCCTGGCCATCAAGTCCAAATCCAAGACTCTGGGTTTCCCCATGAGACTTTGGAGTCTGGGAAGATAGGGCAGGGACTTTTTTTCCCCTGTGTAGCTCCTAGGACAGTGCCTACGTGAGTAATAATGCAGGTAGTAACTGGGATTTATTTAGTAGGTGGTTAATGAGTGATCAGATTAAGACCATTCAACAAATTAAAGAACCCCTGGACCAGCATAAGTAACCAAAAGGTCTCACTGAGGAATACATGACAACTGTTAGGTCAAATTCAATTCTGTTGCCCTCTGAAAAAGTTTCAGAAATGATTATTCTCTAAAGGATACCCTTCTTTCTCGATGTGTCACTTATTCTTTTTTTAATTCCTTCTAGTTGCTTGTTGGGACTTCGGCCTTCGTGAGTGGAGTGCTAATGTTCATGCTTCCAGAAACCCTCGGGAAGCCTCTGATAACTACTTGGGAGGAGACTGAAAAAGAGAGCAGTTCAGGCAAATTACTTTCCACAACCGATAATACTGCGCTAGAAAATATCGCAGTGGTTAACTCTGAGGATTCTGGTCTTAATAAATAAATGTGCCAGACGTGCTGTGTAGCACCTGAAATATTGTTTAATGCTTTTGTATTAGAGGAACATCATTCTCATCTCCTGCATGTCATGTGTATGTCTTTTTTTTTTAATTTTGTAAGAAAGTTTTGAAACAATGGTTTTATAAAAGTAGAAGAAATAAAAAGCAAGATGAGAATTCGCATTTTTTTTTTACACTGCTTTCTTATTGCCACAGAATATTTTTCCGTATTTGTTCTTCTGTGTCACTGATTCTTGCAGGCCTGAGGGACTGCTACACACTCCCTTCAGTATCAGGATCCCCTCCCCCCAACACCGGGACTGTCGACTGGGAAGAGGAGGGGGCATGTGAGAGTGTGTTTCTTTTGACAAAGCCGCTCAAAGATTCTATTTCTGATATTCCTTCCTCTCTTAGGAGAATCATAGCTCTAAATTCAAGTTTTCAAGTCATTCAGAAATGCCCCATCAAAAAACACTTGTCTAACCATAAAAATTATAGCTACACAAAAAGATATCTTGCTTTCCAGCACCCTGAAGGAAGAGGGCTTGAATATGCAGACAAATGTGCTTGTGTTTGGCCCAGTTAAGGGACACACATCTGCTAGGGGCCAGGAGTGAGTTTTCTAGCCTGACAGTCTGATTTTTCCTAAATTTACCAAATTCTCTCCATAAGTCTCATTCCCTGTACATAGAAGCTGTGGCATTTTAGTGTATTGCAAACTTTTTTTTTTTTTTAAAAGGGAACTTGATTTTTATTTATTTATTTATGTCTGTGTTGGGTCTTCATTGCTACGTGGGCTTTCTTTAGTTGCAGCAAGCAGGGGACTACTCTTTGTTGTGCGCAAACTTGTTATTGCAGTGGCTTCTCTTGTTGCAGAGCACGGGTTCTACGCACACGGGCTTCAGTTGTGGCTCGCAGGCTCTAGAGTGCAGGATCGGTAGTTGTGGTACACTGGCTTAGTTGCTCTGAGGAATGTGGGATCTTCCCGGACCAGGGCTTGAACCCATGTCCCCTGCATTGGCAGGCGGATTCCTAATCACTGCACCACCAGGGAAGTCTGCAAACATTTTAAGTTTGTAGATCATCTAAGAAATTGACATCTGGATCTGTTCCCAATATTAAAAAAATTCTTTTCAAGTATTCTCGCCTTTTAAACATAATTTATAGAAAGATTTTACTTTTTTAAAGTAATAAACTTTGTTTCTTCAACTTCACTTTTTTTTTTTTTTTTTTTTTTGGTGGTACGCGGGCCTCTCACTGTTGTGGCCTCTCCCGTTGCGGAGCACAGGCTCCGGACGCGCAGGCTCAGTGCCCATGGCTCACGGGCCCAGCCGCTCCGCGGCATGTGGGATCTTCCCGGACTGGGGCACGAACCCGTGTCCCCTGCATCAGCAGGCGGACTCTCAACCACTGCGTCACCAGGGAAGCCCTCAACTTCACCTTTATTTCGCAAAAATAGATTAAGATCCTGAACATTTCAGCTGCAAAATTATGGCATAACCTTACCTGTTAGAGGAGTTTGCATTCTACATAAGTTTCCCATAGGTTTTGGGTATTTTCTTCACTTGGGTTTCATCAGAAGTTCATTATTTTTTCCTTTGCTCTTGAAATTTAGCTGTTGGATATGTCTTATGTCCAGTACATTAGAATTGATGAAGCGTTAGTATTATATGCAGAGACAAGTAAAAGATTAAGACAATCGTAGAGATACTGTTGTTTAAAAAGCATTGCTGGGCTTCCCTGGTGGTGCAGTGGTTGAGAGTCCGCCTGCTGATGCAGGGGACACGGGTTCGTGCCCCGGTCTGGGAAGATCCCACATGCCGCGGAGCAGCTAGACCCGTGAGCCATGACTGCTGAGCCTGCGCATCTGGAGCCTGTGCTCCGCAACGGGAGAGGCCACAACAGTGAGAGGCCCGCATGCCGCAAAAAAAAAAAAAAAAAAAAAGCATTGCTATGGGGAAAAAAAGAGATTTGACCTGAATTATTTAGAATTTTTATACTAATTCAGTTCCCTGGATAATCACTCAATTCTTCACTTGGCCTTTTCACTTGTAAAATAAAAAATAAAACCAAAAACGTTTCTCCTTTTTTAAAAGAAAAGAAAACAAAACAAATAGGAGGATATGAGAAAAAAGGAGGAAGACTTTTTAAAAATCCTTTTTCTCATCTCTTATTTTGTCTCTTTTTCTTTTATTCCTTCAAACTCAGCCTGCTGTTCTACTGTCATTTAGATTTTTCATCTTAGTTAATATTTGGTATTTTCTTGACTTTCTTTTTATGTTCTGGATTAAGTTGCTAAGCAAAATACCAGACACTGGATAACTTAAATAATGGAAACTTATTTCTCGCAGTTCCGGAGGCTGGAGGTCCAAGGTCAAGGTGTTGGCAAGGTAGATTTCACTCTGAGGCCTCTTCTCTTGGCTTGTAGGCAGCCACCATCTTGTTGTGTGCTCATATGACCTCTTTGTGTTCATGCAGGGGGAGAGAGAGAGAGAGAGGGAAAATGAGCTTTCTGCTGTCTCTTCTTACAAGGTCACTAATCCCATCACGAGGGCCCTGCTCTCATCACCTCATTGAATTCTACATTCAGTCCATAATACACACATGTGTGTTTTTGTACCACTAAATGTCCAGTCAGCAAAACAGAAACCTCTGAGATATTTCAAGTAAGGAGACATTTAATACAGGGAATTAGTTACAAAAGTATAGGAAGGATTAGTGGAACAAAATGGAGGAGAAGTTACCCAGAGATCAGGAAGCCACTGCCATCATTGCACCGGGAGCCCCAAGCCTATACTTCCTGCTTCCACTGCCAGTGCGAAAATCACATTTCTGCTGCTGACCAGAAACCCAGGAGCCCATACTACCACTAATGCTACTGAAACTGCCTGCCATGATTTCAACTTGAACTGAGTTGAATTTTTAGATTAATTTAGGGAAAAACTAGCCAGTTTCTGGTATTGACTCTTCTAACCATTATTATTATTATTTTTACTTTTTTCTTTACTCATTTGTATTTTTTTAACATCTTTTTTGGAATATAATTGCTTTACAATGGTGTGTTAGTTTCTGTTTTATAACAAAGTGAATCAGCTATACATACACATATATCGCCATATCTCCTCCCTCTTGCGTCTTCGTCCCTCCCCCTCCCTATCCCACCCCTCTAGGTGGTCACAAAGCACCGAGCTGATCTCCCTGTGCTATGCGGCTGCTTTCCACTAGCTATCGATTTTACATTTGGTAGTGTATATATGTCCATGCCATTCTCTCACTTTGTCCCAGCTTACCCTTCCCCCTCCCTGTGTCCTCAACTCCATTCACTAGTAAGTCTGTGTCTTTATTACCATCCTGCCCCTAGGTTCTTCATGACCTTTTTTTGTTTTTTAGATCCCATATATGTGTTAGCATATGGTATTTGTTTTTCCCTTTCTGACTTACTTCACTCTGTATGACAGAATCTAGGTCCATCCACCTCACTACAAATAACTCAATTTCATACCTATTTATGGCTGAGTAATATTTCATGGTATATATGTGCCACATCTTCTTTATCCATTCATCTGTCAATGGACACTTAGATTGCTTCCATGTCCTGGCTATTGTAAATAGAGCTGCAATGAACATTGTGGTACATGACTCTTTCTGAATTATGGTTTTCTCAGGGTGTATGCCCAGTAGTGGGATTGCTGGGTCGTATGGTAGTTCTATTTTTAGTTTTTTAAGGAACCTCCATACTGTTCTCCATAGTGGCTGCATCAATTTACATTCCCACCAACAGTGCAAGAGGGTTCCCTTTTCTCCACACCCTCTCCAGCATTTATTGTTTCTAGATTTTTTGATGATGGCCATTCTGACTGGTGTGAGGTGATACCTCATTGTAGTTTTGATTTGCATTTCTCTACTGATTAATGATGTTGAGCATTCTTTCATGTGTTTGTTGGCAGTCTGTATATCTACTTTGGAGAAATGTCTATTTAGGTCTTCTGTCCATTTTTGGATTGTGTTGTTTGTTTTTTTGATATTGAGCTGCATGAGCTGCTTGTAAATTTTGGAGAGTAATCCTTTGTCAGTTGCTCCATTTGCAAATATTTTCTCCCATTCTGAGGGTTGTCTTCATCTTGTTTATGGTTTCCTTTGCTGTGCAAAAGCTTTGGCGTTTCATTAGGTCCCATTTGTTTATTTTTGTTTTTATTTCCATTTCTCTAGGAGGTGGGTCAAAAAGGATCTTGCTGTGATTTATGTCATAGAGTGTTCTACCTATGTTTTACTCTAAGAGTTTTATAGTGTCTGGCCTTACATTTAGGTCTTTAATCCATCTTGAGTTTATTTTTGTGTATGGTGTTAGGGAGTGTTCTAATTTCATTCTTTTACATGTAGCTGTCCAGTTTTCCCAGCACCACTTACTGAAGAGGCTGTCTTTTCTCCATTGTATATTCTTGCCTCCTTTATCAAAAATAATGTGACCATATGTGTGTGGGTTTATCTCTGGGCTTTCTATCCTGTTCCATTGATCCATCTTTCTGTTTTTGTGCCAGTACCATACTATCTTGATTACTGTAGCTTTGTAGTATGGTCTGAGGTCAGGGAGCCTGATTCCTCCAGCTCTGTTTTCCTTTCTCAAGACTGCTTTGGCTATTTGGGGTCTTTTGTTTTCCATACAGGCTGTGGGTTTGTCATATATGACTTTTTTTATGTTGAGGTAGTTTCCCTCTCTGCCTACTTTTTGGAGAGTTTTTATCATAACTGGTTGTTGAATTTTGTCAAAAGCTTTTTCTGCACCTGTAAAGATTATCATATGGTTTTTTTCCTTCAATTCATTAATATGGTGTATCACATTGATTGATTTGCATATATTGAAGAATCATTGCATTTCTGGGATAAACCCCATTTGATCATGGTGTATGATCCTTTTAATGTGCTGTTGGATTCTGTTTGCTAGTATTTTGTTGAGGATTTTTGCATCTATGTTCATCAGTGATATTAGCCTGTAGTTTTCTTTTTTTGTGACATCTTTGGTTTTGGTCTCAGGGTGATTGTGGCCTCGTAGATTGAGTTTGGGAGTGTTCCTCCCTTTGCTACATTTTGGAAGCGTTTGAGAAGGATAGGTGTTAGCTCTTCTCTAAATGTTTACTTGTAAAGCCATCTGGTCCTAGGCTTTTGTTTCTTGGAAGATT